TTTACGCTGCTGTACGAGGAACTGTGAGATTTCTGGATGGAGGATTGATGTGCTTCTTGGTGGAAGAGGGAGTGCTGGGTCTGTGGTTGGTAGAAGGGCTGAGGACTGGCTGAGAGGGGCATAGTTTTTGGAGGGTTATGCAAACACCTGTTGAACCCCGCTCCCCTGCAGCATCTCCTGCTCTCTGGCCTAGATCTTTGCCAACAGCAGGAGCCTCTCACCATGTCCCCCTTCCACCACGAACGTTGACCATTCCGTGGAGATCTTTGCCGCTCCATGGAGGGACAGGCTTCAAGCCATCACCCCTTTCAGCACTGAATATTTATTTCTTGGTGAAGTAGTGACAAATGTGCATACTCATAGCAGCCCGAGCCCAAAGAATCCTGTGTGTTGAGTAATGCCTGCATCAGGAGAGCTGAGCAACCCTGACCACATGCTTTCCGTGGGGAGATGAAACACAGATCCTGCCCTGTCCCTTGATTTTGGGTCTGAGGGAGCACTGCAGGCAGCACTACATGCCACGCAGAGGATGCTGTAGGAAAACGGCATCTTTCCATGGCACGGGACCTGCTCGGGTCCCTCAGCCCACTCGCTACCCCCCTGCACATTTTCCAGCAGCAAGCCTGTCCTGTCCCAAAGCGGCTGCGCCGCTCTGCAGGCACACTAGCAACCAAAGGGTTAAAATCCTTGCACCCACACCCAGCTGGGAAACCAAATTTAAACCTGGGGTGTGCAAGGAGGGAGGGGGGAAGGCGTGCGGGGGGGGGGGGGGGGTGGGGGAGCAAAATTTTCCTGTCCGAAGACCCTCTCCAAGCCTAGCTGACTCCGGCGGAGAGGGGACTCCCGGGATCTGGCTTCCCTGCCCTTCCCAGCATGTTGTGCTCATCCCGCTCTTCCCATCAGCCTTGCCAAACGCCGGGGGACTGCGCGGCAGCCAGCAAGGAGCCTGCCCGGCCCGTGTGCTGCCGGCTTCCAGCAATTCTTTCCCGCTTCCCGCGGATCGTTTCGCTATACGGCGTTTCTATACGGTGTGCCTGGCAGGCAGCCTGCTCCCCTTCCCAGCCACGGGGGTTTTCCATGCTGGGCTTTGCAAACTACCTCTGCGCTGGGTCCTGGGAATGGGGCCTCTGCAGGAAGGAATTTGCTGGTCAGCGGGTTGAGCTGAGCTGCGCGACCCTGTTCCTGTTAGCAGTGACTTTAACTTGGAGGCAGCATCCAGAAGGATTTGGAAATTCCCAGTCCCCCTGGTTGGCTCCCCTCGATGCCTTCAGACCGTGCATGTACCCAAGAAGCCTCTTCTCCCAGCCCCGAGCCAGCCAGAGAGCAGACTCTGCTGTCTGGTTAAGCTGGACAGAGCTGGGGGCTCTTGCAGGGCTGAAGGGCAGCCCAGGATTGGGTGAGCGGAGAGCTGAGGGGATCAGGATAGAGGACCTCCTGGCATTAGAGGGTGAGATGCCAGGAAACCATAACTCTGTAAGCCAGGGAAGTAAATCACAGGCAAACTGAAGGCTCTGGTGCTGTGTGGCAGGGTGCAAAAATGGGAAGCATTTGGGATGGAGGCTTGAGTGAGACCCTACAGGCTGCCACAGTAGTTTCACTGCCTGGGAAAGGCTCACGAGCAAGGTGGTTCGGTGACCTTTGCTATGTTCCCATTGATTTTGCACACTTGGTGTGCTGGGGCACTGTAGTCTCTGCCTAGGAAACCCTCCCCTTCTCCTGCAGTCTGGAGGTCCCTCCACCACAGGGATGCACAGAGAGCTAGAGATGAATGTGGGGGTAACTGGAGGCACCGTGGCACGAAGCCCTGTTGCAAAGGCTCTGTACAGTGTCTGACACAGAGCCTGGGGCCAGAAAGGGGGTCCCTGTAGCTGAGACAACACAGAAGGGCACCCGGCCTGGTCATGTTCCTCTCCTTGTGTCTGCCTCCGTCCTGCACCTCTGAGATCTGGGAAAAGACTGGTGGCTGCAGGAACACAAGCTGGTGAGAAATGGGTTTATGTACATATGTGTAAGAAATTTTGCATGGCCAGAGTGGCTGCTGGAGGCTGCTGGTGTTGGAGAGCCCTAAAAAACCTTGCCTCCACCCCCCACCCCTGGCAGCTCCTCTGTATCCCAAAATTTTGGTCTGCCATGTAATCACCCTGAAAACAGGGATGCTCACCTCTTTCTCATTGACAGAAGCTCCCTGATTTCTCCCTGAGTTGGGAGGACAGGTGACAGAGCAAGGCACTGGGAGAGGAAGGAATGAATGGGGGGCTCTGAGGGAAGGGAGGCAGGAGAGGAGATGGGACATGGCTCCCCAAGGCTGGTTTCCACGGGGCCCTGCTGCTCAGGCATGCAGGTGCATCTGCATTGCTCAGCCAGAGCAATGGCCAACCACCTCTGCCCTTAGTTTGTTCCCTCCTGGGTCCTTTCTAATCCACCTTGCCTGGAAGGATTGGAGTGAGGGTCTGCTCAGCCAGCTGCTTTCTTCGGGGTGCAAATTACAGCAACCAGAGAATTGCTAAAGATTGATGCCTGTGAAGGGAACGTGTGCCCTGATCCTACTCGGCAGCTCTGGCCGTGTTTGGGGCTGGCCTCTGGCCAGAGGATGCTGCTGCTGCGGTGTCTTAAAAACACGCAGAGAGCCAGGGACTTTCCAGGCTCCTGCTACCATGGCTGGGGCTGGGATTGGGAAAGGAAGGGTTCTAGGCTCTGCACTGGGACTGCAGAGCTCTCCTGGGCTCCTTTGAGAGAAGAGGGAGCCCTGGGCCGGACTGGTTTGTGCTGGGGACACTGTGACACACGTCTCCCCTCCCTCCACATCGCTTGTCCTGATACTACATAGGCTCTGGGAGAAACATGACCAGGGTGGATGGCTATGGGATCAGTGCTTCCACAGCTTCTCCAGCACAGGGATAGTGTTCCAGCTGTGCCAAGGGTGGGGGTTCATCCAGGTGCTCAGCATCTGGGGACTGCTGCCTGGAGAGGTTGCACAGGTAAGGGCTGGAAAGGCGATAAGTGCCAACACGGCTCTTCTTTTCCTGCCCTGTCCTGATGCCACAAGTGCTTTGGGGTTAGAGGGATGGGTGGCAGCACAGAGGATGCCTCCAGGGACCAGTTCCTTGTGCTGCCAGGCACCCTGGGGGGGATTCACCTCCAGGCAACCCGCTGCTGTCCACGGCCCATGCCTGCTGCATTCCCCAGGGGCTGCTGCCCAAGGCCACTCCAACCCTGGTGCTGCACGAGTGCCCGGGAAGCTGCCTCCTCCCATGCAGGCACTGGGCACATGGGTACCCCCCAGCATGGCAGCTCCCTTTCTTTTCTGCATGGGTGATGGGGGAAGCCCCAGGATCCTGCGCTTGTCCCAGACATCCAGCTTGTTCTCGAGGAAGGCAGCAAGCCCAAGAGAGGGCTGCAGGGTGGTTGATGGTGATTCCCCTCCCTGCCCCCCCCGCCATGACTCCAGCATTACTCCCTCCCTCATGAGGGGTTGAGAGTGTGGGCATCTTATTGCAGCTCTGCTTTCTACAGCAGCTGGGACTTTGATCTCCCCCTGGGTTACTCATTGCCCTTGATAACTGTTTATGAGGGTCCTTATCAGGAACAGGTGAAAAGTCCTGGGGCTGCACCCCACGTTGCAGGCAGTGGGGCCTGGAAAGGGGCTTGGTTCCCATCAGCATTGGGAAGATCCCATCGGGGCTTGCCATCCCATATGGGATCCCAGGACACAGCTGACATGGGCAGCAGGACTGGGGCTGGCCAAAGATCTGGAGTCCATGGTGGGAGAAGCGGGGCTGTGGCCGGTGTGGTGGGGAAGCTGGGGATGGGATGGCAAAGGGGGATCCTTTCTGGTGGGGGTTGCTCAGGGTGTCTGGAAAGATGCTGAGGCCTGGGGCAGGGTGAGAGGCAGTAGCACTGGATGCATCAAGGGAAATTCCACTTAAATAGTGGGGGGAAATGTTTTCAACAGGAGCACTGGAACAGGTTGCCCAAAGCAGTTGTGAAACCTCCATCCTTGGTCACTTCCAGACCATGCCCTGGTCATCACATGAAAACATGGAGGTCTCTGGCCATCCCCTCCTCAGAGCAGGACTGGTGTTACACCGGGTTGCTCAGGGCTTGGTCCAGCTGCTTGGCCATCTCTTTGGCTGGCCTTTGCCTCCACGGGGGTGCCCTGTGGGCTCCTGTTCAGCTCCCCCAGGTCAACTTCTGCATAGCCCCCATCTTGCCAGTCATGCTCAACCTGTCCAGCTACATAGGGTCATGCCATCCTGTCCATGGGATTTCATATCTTGTCTGTGTTAAACTTCAGCACTTTCCCGTCAGCCCATTCCTCCAGCTGGTTGAAGTCCCTGCTCATCCTCAGCTCCTCACAATTTGGTACCAGCACTAACTTATCGTAGGCTGTGCTACCTCCCTCAGTCCCATTTGCAGTCTGGTCCATGCACATCCCAGCCCTACAGATGTGTTGAGCTGTTTGGGGAGGTCCCCGAGGCAGCCTGACAGGGATTGGGGATCAAGGGGGCTGGGATGTGGGGTCACCCTCAGCCCCTTCTCACCTGTGTGGGTGGGTAGCTTGTCTCGGGAGCAAAGCACAAGGTGAGGGAGCAAAATGGATTGACTCCTTGGTTTCACCGCTGGCTTGGCCACCGGCCAGGGTCCGTGCCTGGGGAACAAACAGGCAAGCAGCAACACCCGACCCTCCAAGAGCAGGTAGAGGCAGGTTGCGAGACCGGGTAGGAAACAGGAGCCCACAAACTCATCTGGCTGCGATGGGGGCTGTGTCTCCAGTGTGCTCCCCACCTGGCACCCCGTGCCGTGATGGGCAGCTGGGAACAAGACAGGACGTGTCCGTAAAGGGGGGGCTCACAGCTTACAGGAATCCCCCACCCTCCTGCTTCTCCATCACCCAGCCCTCGGACGGCTGGTGGGCCGCCTGCCAGGCTGGCCGAAAATGAAAGCAAATCGTCCAGAGATAAAAAGGAGAAGCCTCGGCACAAGGCAGCAGTGCATGTCCTGCTACCCAGCCTTGCCCAGCTCAGCACCCGCGGCACCCACCATGGCTCTGCGCCTCCTCCTGCCGCTGCTTCTGCTGGCTGCCACCCTCCTCATCGCCCAGGCTCAAGGTGAGGGGCGCGAAGCCCTCCTGCCCGCCCGTGGGTGGGATGGGGGGGCAGGGCATACGGGCGCTGAGGGGGGTCTGTGCAGAGTGCTGGGTGGTGCGGTCGGAGTGCACGGGGGGGTGTCTGCGGTGCATTTGGGTGCGTGCATGGCCGTGGGTGTGGGGTTTGCCGTGCAGTCGGGTTATGTGTGTGTGTGTGTGTGGTGTGTGTGTGCACGCCGGGTTAGTGCGTGGCATTGGCTTGCAGTGCTTGCCAGGCTTGGGAGCGTCTGTGTGTGCACGTGGCTGGTGGGGCAGCAGCACCCCGAGCTGAAAAGCACGGGCAGGAAAAACGAGGTTCAGCTCCTTTTCAAGAAGCTCGTCCCTGCCTCAGTTTCCCTTCTGCTGGCAGTGAAATTGGTGTCATATATCCCCAGGGCAGGGCCAGACTTGCAGGTGGGGTTGGGAGCTCCCACCCTCATGTGCTGTCCCAGCAGCTCTCCCATGAATGACACCAAGCAAGCCCTGTGCTGTCAGCCAGCTCTGCTACACTCCCCGGGGGCTGGGAAGGTGCCCTGGCTCGGTGAGGGTCCAAAATGCCACATTCCCCCCTTGCCCCTAGGCATCGGCAGCCCGGCCTCGGACTGCTGCCTGAAGCACAGCCGGAAAGCCATCCCCAGCAACTGGGTGAAGTCCTACAGGCTCCAGGGACCGGAGTCGGGATGTATGCTGCGTGCTGTAGTGTAAGTACCCTGCTGTGGTCAGGACCATCCGGAGCAGTTTGGCTCCCGGCAAACCCTCCCTCTCCATGTCCTCCCACTGCCCACCCCCGCCGAAGCTTTCTGCCTGCACCCCCAGGTTAACCACCAAGAAGAACAAGAAAATCTGCGCCTCTCCTGCCGACCCTGCCATCCAGCAGCTGATGCAGAACCTGGACAAAGGCAAGAAGGACAAGAAGAAGGGACAGTCCCCACGTACCGGGGGCAGACCCAAGCGGCAGAAGCAGCAGCGGGTCTGAGTCAGGCCTGAAGAGGTAGGGTGGGGGAAGCAGAAGAGCAGGGTGATGGGGTGAGGGTTCTGGTCCCTATCCCAGATCCTTCTCCATGGGAGGGTGGGTGTCCAGCTCCCGGGGCTGAGCCTAGGAGGGATGCCAGAGCTGTGGCTGAAGCACAGAGGTGCTTAGGGCACAGCTCACTCCAGCTCTGTGCTTGCCTTAAAATCAGATTTCTTTCTGGAGCTACTGGGACAAGGCAAATCTTAGGGATGGGCAAGGCATGCCATGCAAGACAACCACCCCCAGCTGAGATGGGTGCTCTTGCTGAGACCCTTCCCCACCTCACCACCCTCTCCTTGTCTTCCTTAGGACGGATGCCTTCCCCAACGATGACTGACCCACCGCCCGGCAATGGACACCCACAGACCACTTGCCCGCCCGCCGGCCCTGTGCCTGCCGCAGAGATCCCCCCCAGCCGGGACTCCCTGCACCGGCTGGGTGCTCTCGGTGGCAGGGTGCACCCAGGTCCTTGCTTGCCCCACCACCATGGTGGGGGACCGGGACCTGCGTGGGAGCTGAGCCATGGCCCCAAGGGGGAAGTGGGCAGCCTTCCCAACAGAGGGGATTTCTGTAGCCTGGCAGGGTGGCAGCTTTTCCTATGACTTTATTTTGTTGTTGTTGGTTTTTTTTTTTTTTTTTTTTTTTTTTTTTTTTTTTTTTTTATATATACATTTGTATTTATATTTAAAGACTGTGCTTTCATTCAGTCTTCCTGGAAGGCTCTACTTCTGGCTTCTTGTGCTTCACAGAGTACCCTTTATGCTGCAGGCTGGCTTTTCTGGAAGATTGCTCTTATTTTTCTACCAGACAAATGACGGGTGTGTTTCATTTCCCTCTCACCTGTTTGCTCCTTTTTGGGTTGCAGGACTGTGGGGTGCCACGCAGGTCCCGTGTCCCTGTGGTCCTGCCTGGGCTGCTTGCCGGGTGCTTTCTCGCAGAGCCATTAATAGTGGCTGAGATGGAGAGTTTAGGGGCAGTGGGGATGACAGTGTGGCTCTATGTCTGGCCTCTTCTAGACTTTCCCTTCGGCTTTTATAGTGTGCTGTTGCAGTGTAGTTTAGAGGAAGATAGTCACGATTTGTCCCTTTGATTTTTATTTTTTTTTTTTTTTTAGGTACAAAATTGCAATGAAATCAGAACAAATTGTTCATTTTATTGAAATTTTACCCTTTTATCTCCCCTGATTTTGCTGTTGTCAGAGATTCAGACATTATTAAGCCAAATGCTTATTTTTCCTGAAAAAAAAAAAAAAAAAAAAAAAAAAAGAAACTCTCATATACTTTCTTCTCAAGTCTGAAAAGCCCACATGGTGAAAACTGCATGTGAGGCTGTGCAGGTGGGGGAATTGAAGACTTTGCAAAATTCATTGCAGACACGCTGCAGCCGTTTGAGAGCAGCTCTATCCCAAACCTTCAGTAAAATGAGAAGTCACTAACCCAAGGACACCATGAGACTGCAAGTAGAGGGAGGACAGACCGTGGGGATAGGGCTGGTGGGAAAATGGCATCTCCCCTGTGCTTGCAAACCCCTTCCGGCATGCCAAGAAGGAGCAAGTTGAAAGGCTGTGCCGCAGCTGCAGTGCTATCTGCTCTCAGAGACTTCAGACATGAACTTTGGTCAGTAAAGGTCTATTAAGTCATATAATTGCAATAATAGGATTTGCAGGGCTTAACAGTATCAGCAAAGGCTGTGGGCTGGCTGGAACAAAGCTTGTAGCTGAGTGTTTCTATCAAGCACATTTATCTGGCTTGATTGCTTATTAGGTGGTCATTTAGGTCTATTATTTTAAGGCTGTGTAAAGAAACTGTGAAGTCCAAGATACCGGCCCTGAGCACGGGACGGGCTCTGAGCTGGCTCTGTGCTGCCCTCCCCTCCACGTGGGAGCAAGCAGCTGTCTGCCAGACTGGCTTTTGGACAGGATGCAAGGCAATAAAATATATCCTTTACAATCAAACTCACTTCTTCTGGCTGTTGTGATGGGCTCTGGTGGGGCGGGAGGGCTGCTCTCCTGTCACACACACTTCCATCCCCCAGGTCCTGTCTTCTGCAGCCCCCCTGGACGCTGCACCCCTGGGGTGCAAAGTCTGGGATCTGCTGGCTTAGGGTGCAAGTCCCCTCACCTGCAGCTGTGTTGCCTAAGAAGATGAAGCCATTCTGTTTGCTCATCCATCACAGCCAAGGGGTCCTGTGGTGCCAGCAAACACAGGGGCACAAGACAATTTTGTACGTGGTGCCTTTTGATCATGGCAGAGCTTTTCCCTCCAACTCCAAACCTCCCTGGATGAGCACTGCTTGCTCAAAGCAGTGTCTCTGTGCTCCTTGATGCTCTGGGAAAACAGCATTAAAGCGATTAATGAGGTTGTGCTCTGGCCTGGGCTTTGCTGAGAGCTTGGGAACTGACAACGGTGCACTGGGAGTCAACCAGGGCTGCTGTGGGAGGGCTGGAGGCAGCCCTGGGTTTGCTGGGGACACGCTACATCCAGCCCTGTGAGGCTGGCCCTGCCTTCTACAGGACTCCTTGTTGTCCTGGTTGCAATGCCAGGGGATTGTGAAATGATTGCAAAACCCCCCTAGAAACTAGGCCCAGCCAAATACGTCTACAACCACAAACAGCAAAGCACAAGCAGACGGTAGGATCGAGCCAGCATGTGAAAGGTAACCTAGAGTCTCTGTGGCTGCAGATGTAAATACTGCACAGGTGTTTTTTCCCCTTCAGATGCTAGGTGAGCATTAGGCTAAAACAGATTAAGTGCCCATGAGGGTGCTCTAATTTACCCTAAAATTTACCCTAAAATCAGGGCTTGTGGAAGAGCGCTGGAGTTTGTCCCATGATCAGGCACAGATACCTGCTCAGGAAGGCACATCTGAGCACGGACACGGATGCACAAATGCAGCTCCATGTGTGCCTGTGCCTGCACACGCAAGGGTGCTTGCACACCACTTCCAGAATGTACTTTTAAGCATACTACTGCAGAATGCTGCTTTGAAGGGAAATAAGGTGTCGGGGTTAGTGGGAGCCTCTTGCTGGCGGGGCAGGTGAGTGCAGTGCTGCAAGTGCTGACATAGCACCAGGGAAACACCTCTGAGGAGATTCCCTGCAAGAGGCTGAAGGGAGGGATGATGGGCTGGAGTCTGGGGGACGCAGCAGGGGCCAACACCCCTTCCACATGGAGGAGTTGAATCCACAGACCCCACCTGGGACAAGCGATTTAAAGGAGATGCTCTAAGATGACGCCTGCAGTGAGGCAGCAGCAGAAGATTCACACAGTCGTGTACCCTTGGGCAGCGTAAAGCCACTGCTTCACCCCACATGCAAAGACAAGGCAGCATCGATGCCGTGTGTGCTGGGGTGGTGGGTGTGCGAGGGCTGTACAAGCCACCCTGGACATTCTGCGGGGAAGGCAAGAGAGTTACAGCGGCGTCAAGCAGAGCAAAAAGTTAGGAGAGCTCGGCCACCCTGAAGCAGAAAGGCTTACGGTGACAGCGGAAAGTAGCCAGGCAAGACAGAAAGCACAGGGTTCAGCCAAGAAAAGGGAAGTCTTGAACCCGAGCCAAAGGGTTAGCTCAAGTCATTAAGCCGGCGCAGACGTCGCTCGGGGCCGGCGCCGGCAGCGGAGCGTGCTGGGCGGCAGTGCCGGGCTGAGCTCCAGCGCGGCTCACCTGGAGACACGTGCGCCGGATCCATCCCTCCGCCCTGCGCCTGTTCCTGAGGAGCAGGAGCCGGCTGCCCGGCAGCAGACCCGCGGGTGCCAAGGGCAGTTTCTGGGTGTTAGAGGAGGGGGGGTGGGCTGTGGTTTGCAGCTGACGTTTCAAGGTGGGTTTTGGCGCTCTCTCCACCGAGACTGCCATCCTGGGGTCTGCCGTGGTCTTGAGAGCAGAGGAGGTGGAGAAGTGGCTGGTGGGCAGTAGGGATTCCCACCCTTCCTGCTCCGAGGTATTTCCCAGTCATGGCCTTTCCTTGGCACCCATCCTGCCCCAGAGGTCCCCAGCTCAGAGCCTCCTCTCAACCTTTTCTTCACCTACGTGTAACTCTCAAGCGCTCCTCTTTCCCCTGTCCTCCACTTTGCTGGCTGGAGACCCTTGGCTTTGGTGTGTCCTCCTGCTGCCAGTCCCGTTCCCGCTTTCCCAGACACCCAGGTCCCTCCACTTTCCTCCCATCCTGCTGGGGATTTCAGACCTGATCTTGGGCTGCAGCTCTCCAAGGGTAGGTGGAAGAGCATCTGCTTTCCTCTGAGGATGTCCTGCAGTGGGGCTGACATGAGCTGTGTCCCGGAGCTGCACCAGACCAAGAACCCCACACCCTCTTCTGGTCGGTGTCAAAGAGCCAAGAGAGCAGTGAAAGAGAGCAGCAAAAAAAAAAAGCAGCATTCAGGGCTTTTGGTCCATCCTATCTACTTCTAGATCTGCCCACAGGTGAGTCTGGGTGCAGCTTGGGCATGCTTCCCGACAAGACACGTGGGAGATGGCAAGGAAATTGCTGATGGGCTGCTTTTTGCCCAGGTCTCCGAACTGTTTCCCAGCCATCCTCTCCTGAAACCCCTGGAGAAGTTGCAGAGAGGAGGACAGGCTGTGTCACAGCAGGGAGCCAGGGCTGGGGGCATCCCACCTGGCCACTGCCATCTCAGTGTCAACACAGCACGTCCAAGGACATTTGAAAGAAGCACCTGGTTGGGAAACTGCACAGCCCAAAGATGGTGCTGAGGGACATGTGTTTCCGGGACCCTGGGAGATGGGTGCTCACCTGGGGGGTGTTGAGTGGGACCCAGCCGAAGGGTCTTGACTCTGCTTCCTATCATCTACAGTGACCTCAACATCAGTGGCACTGAAGGCAATGAGTGTTAGGGACAGATGGGCTCTAACAGTGCGGGAATTTGGCACCTTCCTGCATCCCTCTTAGACAGATCCTCAGGACCATCTTTGCTCCCCCTCGGCAAAGTCACTGGCTTGCTCCTTATTTTTCCTTAGCTCCATTTAAATCAGAATGATCAGGTTCCCTTGACTAGAGGAGATCCAACGGGGCCCTGAGCCCTGTGGGCTGGTAGCAGCCCCAGTCCCTGTGCTGAATCAGGACTGGGACTGCAATGGGAGCCGTGCAGGAGGCTCCCTCATACTGGGAGTTGCAAGGGAAATTGAAACATCTGCAAAGCCTGCCCAGTATTTCCCAATGAAGTGAATGCAGCCAGGCCAGATCCTGCTCCAGGGACTGTCTGTGCCTGGAATTTGCTGAAATTCCCCCTTTGCCCTTTCCAGCTCTATAGCCCAGAGGTGGAAAGCAGAGCACCACAAGGTACCCATGGGAGCATGCCAGAGCCCACGAGCTGGTGGGGAGCCACTGCTTCTGGTGCTCCCCCAGACCGACAGGTCCCTGTAAGGGTGGCAGTGTAGCTGGTGCTCCCCAAGGAGAGCCTGGGGATGGAACTGATGCTCGCACGGACCATTTGCATTTTGATGGGTTGGATTTCCCATGGGGATTCCTTCCCTTCTTCCCTCCCCTGCCCCCCTCCTCTCCCCCCCCACATGGTTTACGCTTTAATTAACAAATGCATTACGGAGGCTTCTGCAAGGTTGAGTGCTCAGGGATGCTTCATGCTGCCTGTGGTGTCCCCGGGGCTGGAGCTCCAGTGCTCCCAAATTGCTTTGGATGATGCTTAAGTGGGTCAGCGCACATGGTGCTCTCCCCTCTTCCCAAACTGCACTGGATCCCCTGACCATTCCCTGCCTGTGTGTGCCTCTGAAGAGCCTGGACCCTGAAACATCCCCTCTTTCCCATCTGCGCTGTTTCTTCTGGTTCCTGAGGCTCAGCCCTGCGAGGGGGATGGGGCGACCTCCCTGCATACCATAGGGATGCACTTCAGAGATGACCACTCTCTTCTTAGAAATCCCACTGACCCCAGCAGAGGGGGGAAACCCGTCACATTCCCCTTTCACAACGTGAGTGGAAAGCCCCTTTCCTCACCCTCCAGTGTCCCTCCTGGGGAGCAGAGGTGACTGGAGTAGCTGTGCTTTCACCCACTTGGCACCCAGACAGCTGCTGGGAGGAGGCAGAGCCTCTCTTTCCTGCCCATGTGTGGGAAGGGGCTGCAGGTAGCGCAAGGGCAGGGGGTCCCCTGCAGCCAGAGGCAGTTAAGGGCTTTATCCCTAGAAAGATGTAGTCCCAACACTGGACACACTGCTTTCAGTGAGTGGCCAGCTGGGAGCCAGCAAAGGGTAGGAGCTCCTTGTGCCAGGAAATTGGCAGGGGACCCCCATGCTTGCCACAGGAACCAGGACCCCAGCAATTCCTGGAGGGGGGTCCCACAGGATTGGGACCCCAGCACCTCTTGCCAGTCCTCAGACATGCTTTGGTGTCTGCCAAACCCACCAAACATATGAGGAGTCAAGGGTTTGGCGAGGGTCAGGGCTCTGATTTTGCGGCCCCCTTTGCAATATCAGTCCAGCCCCTGAGAAGGAGCTGGCTCTGGGTTAGGAGTGGCCGCGCCTGGAGGTCCGACCACCAGCATTAGCAGCCAGGAGCCGTTGTTGGCCCTGCTGCAGCATCTCTTTGGCAGCACCCCAGGAACATCAAGTGAAGACCAGGTCCCAGAGCCAGCCTGCACCCGCAAACCCACAGAGAGGCAGGGGCTGATGACTGACACTAATCCTCCACCACCTAAATTCCCGTTCCACCAGGCAAGACCTCTCTTCAACAGCTTGTGAGTGCTAGAAGAAGGCAGGTGCTGACTGAAGTTAAGCTGGCACATCCTGTTTGTGATGCTCATCCTGCCCACCCGCCCCTGCCTAACCCCTTCGGCACAGCACCAGCTTGCCAGGGCACAGGAACAGCTGGAGACACTGCTCTTCTGATGGAGGAGACCACCCCATCCATGAGGCTGGTGCCAGTGCCAGTGCAGGGATGCAGAGTGTTGGCCGGTGGCACAGCTGGAATCTCCTCTTGCTTCTTACTGTGGAGCAAGGAAGGGACAGTGCTCTCTATCTGCTACTGCTGAAGGGAGCAAAGGGGCCTACTGAGGTCCCTGGGTGCCAGCCCTGTGTCTTGTCCCCACATAGATATTTTTGCCTGTGGAAGGCCTGTGGAGTGCTCTCTGCTGAGGTGTGAGGACAGGCCAAAGCTGGAGCAAGGGAGAGGGTGGAGGCATGGAGATCCTGCTCCAGGATTTATTCAACCCTGTGGGGAAATATTTTTCCTGCTGTCAGTGGGAATTTCCCTGGGTTCAACTTCTGCTGTTGCCTCTCATCCTGTCCCTGGGCCCCTCCAAGAGCCAGGTGCTGGCATCCCTCCAAACCCCTATAAGGCAACGGCTGGTAGCAGTGAGACCCCCTTCACCGTCCCTTCCCTGGGCTGCACAGCCCTGCTGCTCTCAGTTTCCCACATGCCACATGTCAGGGCTGAAGCAGGCTGGTTAAGGGACATCACTGCAGGTGGCACTGTTATGGTGGTGAAAAACAGCCCCTGTCTCTGCATTCCTGTGAAAGTTTGTGGTGGGAACTCTGGTCTTACATTCCCTGTAGTGCCCACGCAGCTGGTGAGCTGCCGGCAACCTGTGCTGTGCACACAGCCTCCGTGGGGGATTTCTTCTCTTGTGCTGAGAAAACCCATTTCCAGGAAGCTCTGTAGCTGCCTTTGGCCACGATCCCATTTGCTGGGACACCTGGAAACCAGGTTGTCTTTTGGCATGTGAGATCACAGCTCTGGAGCAGAGCAGGCTGGCTGGGCTCCTCTCCATCCACCAGCTTTGGATGTGCCCCCACCTCCCCAGGCAATGGGGATCTGCAACCAGATCGGGGGGCTCAGGGACAGCCAGGCATCACCCCAGTACTGGTATACACCCCAAAAGTGGGATTGAGGCAAGTTCTCCCCTCAGGATCTGTGGGTTGACCCTATGTGATATCTAATGGGAACATCCCAGAGATGTCTTGGAGGAGGGATTGGGAAATGTAGGGGATGAGACCCCCCCATGTGCTTGCCCAGGGGTGCTTTTACAGGGTGAAGGGACCTTGGAGCTGCTCTGGCCCTGACCAGCATCCCCTGTGGCCTGGGTGCTGTCAGCAGAGAGGGCAAGAGGGTCTTTGACTCTGGAACCGCAGAGCAGCTGGCTACAGGGAAATCAGGCGGGATATTCGGGAACTGCTCAGAGATTAAAATTCAGCCTGTGGCAAGACTTGTTGCAACTTCCCACCCCTCTTCTCCAAAAGAAAGTGAAAGCCACAGGCTCCAAGGATAAATAGGCAGCAGGGAGCACCATCAGCAGAGCGCAGGGAAGCTGTGCAGAGCTCACCTCTCCTGTCCGGAGTACCGTCACCTCAGCCCATCCTCTGCCAGACTCATCAGCAAAATGCAGCAGCTGCATCTTCTCTGCCTTAGTCTCCTGGTGCTGGGACATATCCTGGATGGTAAGGGGGAACCTCTCAGGCTGCCTTTCTTGTAGAAGGGAAAGGATCCTGTTTCTTGCTTTCTTTTGCATTTCCAGCAGACTTTTAGAGGGACTCATGGCTGGGGATCTGTTGAAGCCCCCCTGCATCCTCTGCTTGTAATCTGTCCCAGAAGGACTCTGTCCTGCCAAGTCCAGGCAGGAGCTTGCAGGGCACTGGGGCTGGAAAGATGAGCTTGGGCAAGCCATGGAGCAATCCTGCCTCCCAGTGCCATAGCCCAGCTTGTGCACACTGGGCTGGGATCACCTTGGTCCCATTCTCCCCCGCACACCAGGGGAGCATCCCTGGCACTCTTTGGTGCAGGGCAACCTGGAGGCAAGTGGTGGGGTTGGGAGTGGGAGGACAGGCTTGTGTTAGGGCAGAGCCCACGTTTGAGGGGCTGCTGGTGTTGGACATGGGGTTTGCAGAGGTCAGAGCTGTCTGGGTGGGGGACACCAGGCCCTCTGCTCTGCTGCGAGGAGCTGGGGAGTCCAGGTACCTTGTGTTGCCCCACACCTTGAGGCCTGGGGTTACAGGCATCCCTGGTCACTGCCAGCCTTGACAGGCATTAATAGTGAATACATCACTTGCTTGGAGGGTGACTGAGGTCCTCTGCTCCGCAGTGAAGTGCAGACAGCTGTGTCCCTCAGCTGTCACAGGACCGACTGGTGCAGGGCAGGCTGGTGATGTAGTAGCTGCAAAACCTATGACTGCTTCAGCAAATAAGGCTGAACTCATTCCCAGCCCCTTGGAAAAGGGGGTCTGTATGGCAGCATTGTGAAGCCAGGTAAAGATCTCTGTCCTGCCCTGCTGGCGCTGGCCCTGGGAGTGCAGGGGGGCACCCAGGCATGCATCAGGGTTTCCCTCCGCCATTCCACTGTTTATCATTTCCTTTGCTTTTTTGTCGGAATGAGGCAAAGGCTTCTTGGTGCCGGGGTGTGGGAGCACTGCCTGCGTGTGCAGCTGGGGCAGTGTGTGAGGGCATTGCTGGTGGGCACCATCCTGCCCTGCTCTGCTGGGGTGGCCCCGCAGCCCCTTCACCCTCCGGGGAGGCTGGGTGAAGGTGCCGCCAACCCAGGGAGAGCATCTTCAGCCTGCATGGTGTGTTCCTCTTCCAGTGCACGGCGGGAACAACGTCCTTGACTGCTGCCTGCGGACGAGTGAGACACCCATCCCATGGCGGATAGTGCAGGATTACCGGCTCCAGTTGGTACAGGATGGCTGCGACATCCCAGCTACTGTGTAAGAGCCCCAGGGTGGTGATGGCTGAGGGACAAGAGCCTCAGGCTGGTGATGGGCAAGGGATGGGCCCTGTGGGGAGACAGGGAGGGAGGCAGAGCATGGTGAGGGAGGGATATTGATCTAGGTTTGGGGGGTGAGGGAATAGGGAGGGCTGTGGAAGAGACTCTGGAGATCAGAGGCTCAATCAGAGCTGGACCTGCTAGGAGGGGAAAACTTGGGGCAAAAGTCAGGGAATAAAGTCATCTCAAGGTAGAGTTGGAGGATGGCAGTGCGGGAGGTAGTGGGTGAAAGCTTGAGCTGTGCTTGAGTATCCCTGGTTGGCCTGCTCACCCTGTTTCTTATCCCTATGAACCTGGCAGGTTCATCACCACCAAGGGCAAGCGCCTCTGTGCCCCGCTCCAAGCCCAGTGGGTGGTTCGCCTCCAAGAGAAGCTGAATGCCAGCTCTGCGAGGAAGGTAAGAGCTGTCCCTGTCCTCAGCAGAGAATGGGAGCAGCCTGGGAGTGGGTTTATCTGCCACCAAACAGGCTTTTCCCAGTGTTACTGGGCTGCTGGGAAAAGCTGGGACATGCTCTACTGAGGCATGGATACTTGGTCTCAGACTCCATTCCTCCTCCCTCCAACTGGGACCAGGCTGACTCCTCTGCAATCCTTCTTCCACCCCACATAAATGCAGCCCTGGGGCTGTTGTCCACCCAGTGCCACCCTGGAGTGAGCCCAGTGGGTGCCACAGCAAAGGGCACTGGGAGCAAGCCCCTCCCCACTTCTGCCCTACAAGCTTGGAGTCTGCAACTTGTGCATCTTCACAGGGAGGGCTTGCAATGAGTTTGGTGGGTGCTTTGCAAGACTGTCAGATCCCTGCTTCACCACCATGGCTTGGCAAGGGGAGGTCACCCCTTGGTGACCACCCTGACCGTGGGGATAGGACTTCTGGGGAGGCACCTGCCATGAGGATCAACTCATCACAGCTGGGTTTTTCACTTCCCCAGGCCAAACCCCAGAACAAGTAGGGTCCGAAGAAGCCTGTGGCCAGCCCCAGCACCTGGAGTGGGGCTGGCTCCCAGCTGTGAATCTGAAGCTATTGGAGCCAACCTGCTTCCACCTCCAGCTGACCCTCATCGGGACTCTTGCCAGTGTGTGGGGCTGGGCAGAGCCCTGTCTGCTCTCTCTTCTTCCTTCTGTCTCCACTGTGACCCAGCAACCTGCGTCAGGCTGAGCCAGGGGCTACCGGACCAGAGACTCTGCCACCTTCACAGCCTGGAAGCTGGTTGATGGACTGTTCTGTAAGATGGGTTTAGAGGGTCTCAGCCTTCCCTTCAGTGCAGCAGCTGTGACCACCAGCACTAGTCTGATCCCTTTGGTTTCCATCATCAGTCCCAAGCCTGAGTCCTTCCGCATCCCTGGGAAGGGTTGCCAGGATGGGGCAGTGTGGGGATGGAGGGGAGGGATGGAGATGTTTCTCACTGGCCATGCACTGTGCTGCTACCTTGCTGAGAACAACCTACATGCCTTTGGGCAGAGTGTGGCTGATGAGATACCTCTCTCATGCCCTGACTTCCCTGCACTGTTCCCCCTCCTGCCCTTCCTTGCCTGGGTAGAAATAGAGCCAGTAATGTGGTGGTGGCAGAGTGGGCAGCGATGTTGCTCTCAGCCTCTGCTCTCCTCAGGGAAATTTCCCCCCCTTCATAGTCCCCCAGCCTGTCACCATGTTCAAACTCTGCTTTGGGGATGTGTGAGCAGTGTTTGTACTGCTCTCAGGTATTTGCTGCTAGATCTGTTCAATGCAACAATTACAGGTGTAAGTTGCTTCTTTCCTCTCTTTTTTTTTATTGTGCTGTGATTCTGTTTAATAAAAAGAAAGAAAAGCCAGCGGGTAGTTGCCCTGACTTGTGTTTGAGCCTGAAGGCCAGTGTGGAGCATGAGGCATGCAGCCACTGCTGCTTGCGATGACACAGTGGCGAGGGGGCTGTGCTGGGGTGCAAGGCAGGGGAAAGGGGCTTTCACAGGGGTGAAGGACGTGTTCTGCATGCAGCAGCTGGGCTGCAAGTCTCTACTGGGAGTCTCTCAGCACCATGGTGAGGTGCGTGTCCTGCTCTGCACTGCTTGACCAGGCTGCTGGAGCGAGTCCCCGGGGGGTTGTATTGCAGAGGTGGGGAAGGACGAAGCTTGTCAGTACTGCACCATCCAGCCCAAACCACTTCAGTCCCACCAGCTCCGCTTCTGGGTTGGAGCATTCCAGATCTCAGCTGCCACAGGAACATGGGAAATGGATGAAGAGCTGCAGGAACAGAAACTTTGTCCTTGTAGTGAAGGGAAACTGAGGCACAGTGTGACTAATCGGGTCTGCTAGTTACCCTGGCAGTTCAGCGCTAGCTAGCAGCTGGCAGGCAAAGAGAAAGAACTTTTTGGGAAATGGAAGCAGGTGAAGACACCTGCTCCTGGGCACATCCACGGATAAGGCATGGAGGGAAGCCCACCAGCCCCATCACCAATGAGTTGGGAGTCCCTGGCCATTTTCTTCCTGAGCCTTGGGTTTCCTGGGTCTGTGCACAGGGACTACGGTCTTGCTGCCCCAAAGTGTCCTTATGTCCCCTTGGGAACTGCCCTTTTACCCAGGCCATGTGATGTTTGATCAAAGCTGCTCCGTTCAGCCGAAGCATGGGCTGAACATGCATGCGCATGGCCAACAGACACTATGCTCTCCTCCTGAAGTCCACGGTGCCAGACGTGACTGTCCGCATCACTAGATTATTTATACTGTCCCTGGTCCGGTTTTGGTGCCAGACTTCTGGGCACCTGGGAGTGAGATGGCCCATGGACTGTTCCCAAAGGCAGGCAGGATGTGGTCACCAGCCCATCCAGGGGATGGCATCAGTGGTGATGCAGCACCTGGGCTGTCCAAGCCAGAGGATGTCCAGGCACCTGAGGGCTTTTGCTGAGACCTGTTGAATGTAAATTTAGCCCTGGACCATTTACTCCCTTGGTCTGCTGACTCCCTTGGTTGGTAGCCAGGGTTTCTTTTTCAGGTGTTCCCCCCCTCTGGGGTCCTCCTCCCTGGTATCTGTGCACACACAGAGCCCTGGGCTCGGTTGTCTCTTGGTGTGACATTCCCAGAGCACCAGCTCTGTCCCAGTTCATTAACTACAGTGACAGCACCAGCAATACAATCCTGAGGAGAAGGAGGAGGAGAAGGAAGGCTGGCATGGGAAGAGAAGCCAAGACAAACAGCATGAGTGGGAAAGGAGGATAACTGGTGCTTGCTCGGGCAAGAAGCCTTCCTGCTGCTCGCTCGGTGACCCACGAGGGGCCGCGGCTGGGGAGGGGGAGGGTGCTCCGTGTGGATTTGCACCAGGGATGAGCTGCTACAGCTGGTGCGGATCCCTGCTCAGGGCAGGGAATGCAGGAGGGCCTAGCCCGGGCTGGATCAGGTTCATCCTTGGCTGGAGGCTATCCTGACAAGGAGCAGGGTGTCCTGGCCCAGTTCCTTGCAAAGCTGAGGGAGAAGGGGCTTGCAGCAATCTCTTGGCTGTTGGAAGCAGGTTTACCTATTTTCATCAGAGTTGGAGGGACGGTTTGGCCAACCTGCCTGTGAGAGCATCACTGCAAAGCCTGTGACTCCCATCACTTCTGGGAGCAGTGAACGTACCCTCTTCAGAACAATGCAGCCATTCATCACAGAACCCTGCCAGGTCCTTGTCTTCTGTGTCTCAAGGGGTTGGTGATCCAGGTCTCAGCTCTGGCAGCAGGATGCCCTTACTCCACAGTGAAGAATGGGAGAAGATGCTGGCCTGGGCTGTGTACATACTCCTGGCTGTCTGTCCCTCCTCCAGCCCTGTAGCAGCTGTCCCTTCTCCAGAGCCCAACTCTTGGAAATCCTTCAAAAACCAGCAGGGCTCAGCACTTCGTAAACTATGGAGTGAGTTTTTCTGATACAAAATGTCAACAATCTCTTTAGATGGAAGCAGTCATTTTCCTTAGAGAAAGCAGCTAGTCATTGCCATGTCAAAAAGCTGGAGTCCCAGCCAAGAGCTAGTTTCAATAGAAAATGTTCCAAGTCCTCCTGTTTCTCTCTCCCCGACCATATTTTTCCTACTCTTTGCCTACCCTCACTGCATCCTCAGGGTTTGGTGGGGCAGAATCAGGATCCATTGCAGTACTATGCAGACATGCCCTCAGTACATCTGGGGCTATGTGCAGCAATCACTTTGATGTGATGTGTTCTGGAACACCAGTTGAATCACCTGCAGTCCTTTATCCACGCCTGGGACCTATGTTTCACATGTTGTGGAATAATAAGACATTATAACTGAAAAGCTTTCTTAGGGAACTGACAAAACAGCTGCTCTCTTCGTGATGGTGCACAAGGCCAGGGAAGAAAGACAAGGTTGCATCTATGAAGGCAAACTAAGCGTGATTTGTGTTGTTCATTGGTTTTTAGGTCTCACAGCTGGGATCATGAGAGTAATCCTGTCCCTCCCAGGCACAGTGGAAGCTGTCTCGGATGCTTTCCACACTGCATTCAAAGGACATAAGACACAGGTAAGATCTGTTGTGGTCTCAGGATCTGACCTGTCATGGGGATTCCCAGCCAGGAGGTAGGATTGAAGCTCCACATCAAAAACACCCATGTGCTTCTCTGCAGCAGAATGAGGCACCAAAGGGAAATGCTACACTGGTCTTGGTTCTGTAATACCCATTTAAGGGGCTTTATTGAAACTGGTTTTGTCCCTTGACCCCAAATAAATGGTGTATGGGGGCTTTTTCTGTCACCAGCATCCCTCATGTCTTGCACATGTTGCTCCTGGAGCAACTGGGAAGGAACTGGATGCACCTTGCCTGTATGCACCTGCAGGCAAGGTCAGCAGCACTGTGGAGTCTAAAAGCTGTTCCCCCTTCTGCAGCCCTCACACAGCCTCTTCACATTGCTCCCTGGTGCAGAGGAGTCCACTGGAGCTGTGAACATGCACTGGGCACCTTTTCCAGTTCAAGGGCTGTTTTTCCCCTGTGCTAGAGGTTTCCTCTGCTTGGTACTAAGGCAAGGTGCTGCTGTTCATGAGCAGAGCTCCTTCAGCAACAGTGCTGGACCTGGCTGGCAGGGGCTCAGAGAGCTGGTTTTTTTTTTTGAGGGGATGGGACATGTGGATGGTTGAGAAGGGTGGGAAGCCAGGTGAGCAAAAGCCCCTTTAGTCTTGTCCCATTGCACTGTTTGCTCTTGCCTAAACTGTAACGGTGGGGGTGATGGAGAGGATCCAGGCCTGGCTTCTCTCCTCCTCAGGCTCCTGCTTGCTCCCCCCCTCATTCCCAGCATGTCATCACCAGTGCTGCTTGCCCAGACACATTCTGCTGAGATGAGCCCTGTGGGAAGATGCCAGCACCCTTGCCCAGGCTGCAGGGCTCTGAGCAGCAGCTGGTGCCATCCCTGACACCCTCCTCCTGCAGCTCAACTGCCCTTGGTGGTGCCATCCAACCTGTACCTCTGTGGCCTGGTTTCCTGAGTCTGAACCCCAGGACTGGAGCATGGGACCATGTCTTTCCCGGCCCAAGTCTCTAGAGTCAAACTGAGCCCAGAAGCTGTCTGCTATGGGGACGCTTGTGCCCATGCAGGGCTCAGCCATGAGCCAGGTGCACCCTTGCCCAGATTCCAAGGCTCAGAATACCCTTTGGAAAGGGAGTGGGGACCCATCCTTTCTGCTCTCAGATGTGCTCATCTTTTTATGCACAGTAGCAGTACAAACTAGAGATTAAAGAGAAAAACAGGAGGACAAGCAAATAGGAGACTTGTCTTGCTGCCAGAAGCCTCTGGAAAGTACCGTCACCGTTACCCATCCCTCTCAGTGAACCGGTAGGCAGTGATGGGAGGCTTAGTGTCATTTCTGTGGCACTCCCCACCTGTCCCTCCTGTTCTTCTGCTTGGCTGTGCCTCTAGGTAAGGTTTTCTCTGCTCCTTGTGGTGTGCCCCTTGGCCAAGGGGCTGGGGGGGGACCTGACCTCCTTCCTTTTCTCAATTGTTCTGCAACCACAGCAAAATGACATGGCTGTACAGCAAAACAGAGCTGGGTGTGTAGGAGAATGAGGTGAGGTTGCACCACCTGGCTCAGACTGCAGGGTCGGGGCTTGGAGGGGATTAATGAAGATCTGGGAGCTCCCTTAGCTCCGCCTGGGAGTAGATGGGAGAGACAACCATGGGACAAGAACTGGGCAAGGACACAGCAAAGAAGAGAAGATCTTGGAGCTTCTCATGAATCTGGGAAGTTGATGTGCAGCCCGAGGCTGGCTGGGATGCATTAAACCCATAAGTGTGAAAAATCTTTCCTTGTCTGGCGTGGAAAGGGAGAGCTAG